GTGGGGGGGGGGGGTGTTGGGGTGTTGTAGGTGGGCCAACGGGGTGTGGGTGCTGGGGCGGAGCGGTTCTTTTAGGTTTGGGCAGGGATGGGGGGTCGGTGTGGGCCCTGGGGGTCTGGGGGCAGGGGTGGACCGACGTGCTGGCGGGTCACCACGGCCAGGGCGGGGGCGGGTGGGCGTGGCGGCCTTGTTTTTGTCATTTTCGTATTCCGAGGAACGCCGCCCTCCACTCCATAGCCCCCGGCACGTGCGCTCACAAACCGGCGCCTCGTTCAATTGTTTCGCGCCACGTGGTGAATGTAACGTTTGAACGCGGCACCGGCACGTTTGAACGCGAACGCACATTCGGCATGTTCAAACGGTTACAAAGCCCCATGTACTGACGTTTGTCCCATGATCACGCCCGCCGCTGGGTTGAATGTTCGAGTGTGTGTAGCTTCTGCAGCGCTCCCACTTGACAAGCCAAAATCCAAGTCCACAATCTCCTTCTCACCTCCACCGATACCCTCCTCCAGCATAGCAGAGAACGACTAACTACGATTTCGTCAAAACGGACATTTTTTATTTTTTGAACGAAATTGAAACTCAGATTTTTTGCCTTTTTTTTCATATTTTGTGTAATTTTGAGCTACGAAAAAGGGGGTTAAGGGGTAAGGGGTAAGGGGTCAAGGGTCAGGGGTCAGGGGTCAGGGGTCAGGGGTAAGGGGTCAAGGGTAAGGGGTAAGGGGTAAGGGATAAAGGGTAAGGGTTATCAGGTAAGGGGTAAGGGGTAAGGAGGAGAGGTGTAAGAGGTAAGACCTACGATGACCTCTCGTAAATTGTTCTTCTGACACGATCAGTCACATTTTATCATGAACCGCATTATTAATCCTCGTTACACTTACAAACTCATTTTATCATATATCAGGTCTAGTTGTGATCACAACATGGTCGTTTCACATTTGTTTGAACATCTATAATGTAAAAGGAACAAATTCGTCTACCCCACAACAGCTACGTCGAAAGTTATCCGGCATCGTATTTTCTTCGTGTCATCTGATGTGAACCTGAAAGGTGGAAGAAACCCTCTCGCCAATAGTGATGCATATGTCAGCATAAAGACACCGCACTCGTTGAAGTCGCGCTGCTTCGGAATGCCTTCCACTTCCCATATATGGTTGAAGTTAGCAGTGTCGATTTCTTTGCCTTGTTCGACCGACCTCATGTACAGAAATCTTGCAAACCCCCCTGTCACCTTCGCCGCAAGTTCACGATCTGCCGTCCGCGAATCGTAGTACTCTATTTTCCAACGCCGTAGGTCTGCCACTACGAGTGTCCAATGCTGGTTGTGCGCGACGTGGAAAGGTGCAATGATCAAATCCATGTCGCTGATCACGATCTCAATGAACCACCTTTTAAGCTTTTTGTACTGGAACTTCATATCGCTATCAAATAGTTTCGAAAAAAAAAATGAGCTTAGCACTGCTATTGTAGGAATGCGCCCCTTCCCAGTTCTAACCACGTTTTCGTTCTTCGAGTCGCAATTAACGTGCTTCACACGACACTCATTGTCCAGTCGGATAAGGTTAAGATAAGAATTTACTATCTGCGAGTTCAGCCACTTCTTTTCCACCATTAGCAAGCTAAAATCGTTAAATGTCATCGTTAATTCTTTTTTTTCTGTCTTCGTTGAACGAACTTGCTATGACGTGGCTATTCCCAAGTTCCACTCGCAACCGCGTGAGCGCCTCCATCTCTCTCTCCGTCAAATTCGTTGTTGCTAGGAGGACGGTCCATCCTTTTTTGCACCTCCGATTATCCTCCGTTGTCGTTTTTGCTGCACATGACAACGCGCCATGTCCTTACGTGAGCTAGTGGTTCGGTACGTCCATTCCTAGTCATGTTCATTGCATTCAATTTGGAGTAGTACCACGTAGTCAGAGTTACCTTAAATGAGCGCGGTGCATATTAAGAGAGAGAGAGATAGATAAATAGATAGATAGATAGATAGATAGAGAGAGAGAGAGAGAGAGAGAGAGAGAGAGAGAGAGAGAG